AAAAAATATGAAGCGACAGGGCGAAAAAAAAAATAAAAATAAAAACAGGTCTAGGCATCTTATTATAGGCTTAAATGCTACGGAATGAGCCATGAAGTCAACACAAAAGGCTGGGTTAAAATTTAAACATTGAATTTTGAACTTTTAATCAAACCACTGCAAAGATAGATGGGAAAACTGTAACAACTAGGAAGAAAAGGACTTTCCTCAACTGTTGGGGGCAAAACATCAGCATTTTTCAGTTGATTCAGGACCAGAATCAATTTTTTTTTTTGCAAATCAGAAAAAAATGAAGAGGCGAATCCGAGAACCAACAAATTAAATTGGTGTGGCCTAACTTAATAACTTGAAATAACATTACATGTATTATAAGTCATTGATTAGGTTCTCTGCAAACATAAAGTGGCTAAAATAACCACCTATAATATTCTACACCTGTAAACAACAAGCACATTAGGCCGCAGCAAGTAAATTTTATGGATAACATCCTCCACAGACTCCAAATCTAATGCAAGAGGGCAAAAAAAACAAGGCGGGCCCAAACAAACAGGATTCCTACATTTTGAAATTTTGACATCATGAACCTTGCAAACAAGAAATGATACCTATACTGCCAACTACTACAACATCCATTTCTTGCTGATCATGAATAGAAAAGTTTTTAATCATTGTACAAATGGTTTTGATTCATTTGGAACATCACATATAAAAGGAATACTGCATCAAGGTAAAAGACAAAACATTAAATCAGATCCTTGTCTTGTCTCCTCTCTTCATATTTATCTGCCATCCACATCAGGGGTTTTTCTAGAAAAATCTGGCATGAGGGAGCGGTATCACGGCGAGGGAGCGAAGCGACTGAGGGGGGGTTATGCGGAAGGGGGGTATCCCCCCTTCCGCCATGTGAAGCCTTTGAAAACTTGAAGTTGAAATGGGACAGTTTGAGGCTACTTGAGGGGAAAAATTCGAACTCTTTCATTGTATGTTTCTTTGAAAATAAACAACTATGATTGTGAAAAAGGTCTGTTTACTTGGATTTTACAACACCTTCAAAGGCTATTTTAGCTTGCACAAAATTTACAACATGCTAGATACAATGCGCAATACAAATTTCCAGTACTATAATGTATGTAAAAGCCATAGGAGAAGGATAGATAGACTAAAATAATTCAATCTTTTTTTGTCAATATCTTTCCTAAATTTCTATTCATGCATTGCATATTTCCTTTATAAAATATAAGTACAATCAACAATACACACAATGTGCAAATCACCCTTTGTACACTTACACAATTAGTGATCAATGTTACTAGTAGCTCCAATGTGACATTCCGGCATGGAAACAGACATATTTTCCCACTTTCAGCATGTTGACCACAGTCAGAAGGCAACAAAATTTCTTGTTTTTTTTCCCAAATCAGGCAAAAATTAATGCGGGCGCTGATGTCATCCATAAAAATAACTTGCTGTGGCCTAATTACATGAAATGTTTTACTTGCGATACGATCTACCACCAAGTTCTTATCCAATAGAAAAACGCGACGTCTTCTGTAACAGCTCATGCGATTTGCGTAGGCTGGGGTGCAAAGTTCGTCGCCTATTGTTACGTGACGTCAGCCTTCCGAGAAACTGTGCTGTACTAATTTTCATATCCAGCTGGGCACAGAGACCTCAGTCTTACCAACACTCTCGGTGGCACAATATAATGGTAGCCTGGTTAACCAGACCGCCGTGAGCTCAGCGCTATCCCTTCGGCACCGAGAGCGTTTGGGGCCGCCAACCAGGCCTC